TGTGTGTTGCCAATCAAATAATTTCAAATGTTGTCGGCAAAATATTTTTGAGATAATAAGTGTATTTGAAAAAAAGAAGGCTGCTACAGAAAGGCCGGCAAATAAAGCAACATACTTCTTGAATGCTTCTGAATTCTTAGCACAGTAGTAGGTGCTAAACGATACTGATGACACATAAAATTTTACATTTTGGTGGAAACAATTAAAAAAATCTGCAAATACAAAAAAAAAGAAAAAATTGCGTAAGACTTTAAGTACCTTTTTTTGTTGCTGTTAAAGCAAACAGTTTATCAGACGGTGAATCCAATGAACAATGTTGTTGGTCGGTGTTTCTTTTTTTCCTCCTCCCCCCAAATAACCACTAAAACAACAGAGAATAAATTTTACTTTATGTAATTTTTTTTTTGTAAGTAAGATGAAACATATAGGCTAAAAAGTTATTGGAAAAAAAAATTGTTTACACCCGTATTTTGTTGATTCTAATAAATTTATGTTCTATAATTCTAAAAAATTACTTTAACCGCCGATACCATTAAAAAATGGTTCTTTAAGCGGCAGCTAATTTTTATGCTTTGACACATCAAAAAAAGAGGAGAATGAAGAGAAAAAAAAGCAACAGAAAACTGAATAAGAAAGCAGAGAATTTTAGTGACTGATCTTTTCAAGAATCATATTTCTTTCTTTATCAGATCACAATGACCTGTCAAAGTTTTTTGTTGCTGTTGTAACTTTTTTTTGTTTCCATCAACTAACCTCAGTTCTTTTGATTGTTATCGCATTTTTTTCCCCTTCCACCTCCCTCCCCCTTCCGTCTCCCAAATAACTTCTTTAGTAATCCACTCGGCTTTTTTAAAGTTTATTTTCTTTTTTATTATCGTTGTTATTATCGTTGTTGTAATTTGAGTACAATCTTTCTACTGACATAAAATTTTACTTACTGACATATTGTTTCTTTTTTTTTTTTGCAACAAAATCTGTAGGTTATATGCTGTTAATAATTGTTTCTATAATAATAGCTAAAAAGAAAAAAAACAGTCTTTTTTTTTCTGGTTTTAAATATTTTTCGTAAAACATTTGCGCAAATTAATAGCAAACGTTAGCCAATCCAACTGAACGATCTTTTGGCCGATCGGTATGTATAAATCGGTTGTAACACAGAAACACAGATCATTGCCAGTGGACATCGTACAATAATGAATTGTAGTAAATCTAACCTGAAACCTAGAATTGTACATCAGTGTTTCAGTAACGTCATATGTTTCAGCCTTATTGTAGTTACTGTTTATTTTTGCTGAAAATAATAATTGTTAATAATAAGTTAGTCGGCTTGAAATGCGATGATAAATCTTTGCTCATCAAACTGTTACAGCACAGATAATTAAAGCATAAGCTTCAACGTTGTATTTGAATCAGCAAATAACCAATACAGATGATGACAACGATGATGACGACGATGATAGTAATAATGGCGAAAATAAACGTTTGCATATTCCTCGAAAAAATTTCTAATTCATTGAATAATGAAAACAATATGAGTTTGTAAAACTAAAGTTAAAAGAAGCAAAAAAAA